CCTTGACAGAGGTGACGGTTGCGTGAGCTGAGAATCATACCACTGCATCCAGCCTGGGCGACAGCAAGACTCTGTCTCAAAAAAAAAAAAAAAAAAAAAAGGAAAGAAAAGTAAGAGAAGTCATAGCTATCAGATCTGCTTTAAAAGAACTACAAATCAAAGTTTTTCAGACAAAAAGAACTGCAGAATGAAACTTGCAAAATCAAGAGTGGAAGGAAGAGTGGCAGAAATGGGAAATATCTGGAAATCCGTTAATAGGCATTTTCCTCGAGAGCTATTGAAACAGTCAATGAGTTATACAAAACTCAGTGATTAAAAGTACAAGATACATAGCAATTTCCCAAGGGTTTTTTTTTTTTTTTTGATGGAGTCTCCATCTGTCGCCCAGGTTGGAATGTGATGGTGCGACCTCGGCTCACTGCAGCCTCCGCCTCCGGGTACTTGTAGAATAACATACTTACATTATTCTAGTAATAACAGCAATAGATAAAATGTTAAAGGACAACGTATATAAAACCAATACCATTAAGAAATACCTTGAGTCTCTTCGATTGAGAGGTTTTGTTAGCGTTCCTGCTTTTTGTGGTGGAATGGTGAGACATCAAACAGAGTGTCCATAAAAGTTGGTTTTCAGGTTCATCAGGAGAATTTTCCTTTCTGGAGCTCTGTCATATATAAACACAACTGCCTTGACTTACTCACCCTGGGTCTTCGGGAAACGTGTCAATGGATGGAACAGTCATATGTCGAGCACACGGTTAGAAAGATTTAAAAGCACGATTGTTATTTTCTTCAGATATTCTTGAGGGAAAGGCATGGGGATACAGCCCATGGGTATCTTCCGGTGACGTATCTGTCCCCAAAGCCTGTGTGATGGGCACATGTGACCCAGCCCTCCTCTGTTTTGGACACTGGAATCAAGGATGCATCTCTACCTCATTCATTTCCAATGAGAACGCTGGATTCTCCTCTCCACACTCTCGGACTGACTCCCTTTACAAACTCTGCTGTCTAAGATAGGACACAGAGGTAAGGGTCCCTTTCACTAAGGCTTCTGAAGAGCAGCTCCAGGGCCCGGTCCCTTTCTTCTCCACCATGCTCAGCAGGGCGTCGGTCTTGCTTTGCCGTGTCTTTGCCTGCTCACCAGCTCCTTCTCATTCTCACTGAGAACCTCATTGTCTTGGAGATCATCGAGCACCCCTTTCAGGTCCCCAATCCTGGCTTGGAGTTGCCGGTGGTTCCCCTCTCCCTCACAAAGGCTGCACCTGGATGAAAGGGGGAGTTGTGGACTCTGAGAATTGCTCTCTTACAGGATTTGGGATCCGCACCAAACGAAGATTCATAATTCATGGTTGGGGGCTGGGTCTTTATTAATTAATTTATTTATTTCTTGAGAGGGAATTTCGCTCATCGCCCAGGCTGGAGTGCAATGGCATGATCTCAGCTCACCGCAACCTCCGCCTCCCAGGTTCAAGTGATTCTCCTGCCTCAGCCTCCCCGATAGCTGGGATTACAGGCATGCGCCACTATACCTGACTAATTTTTGTATTTTTAGTAAAGGCAGCGTTTCACCAAGTTGGGCAGGCTGGTCTTGAACTTCTGACCTCAGGTGATCCACCTGCCTTGGCCTGCCAAAGTGCTGGGATTGTAGGCGTGAGCCACCATGCCCAGCCAGGGATGGCTCTTTAACTTGTAGTGTTGCCTAACCCATGTTCATTTCATTTTGGATATTTTACTTCCTAGTCTCATATTTACTATATCCCTCTCAAAGTTCAATATAGAACTACTTTAACTTACGGTTCCCCAGATGCAAGACATTTACCCCAATAACTTGCTGTTTCCTGCTCCTTGGTGTGGACGTGATGTCCTCACATCCTCCTTTAAGTAAATCATACTCATTGTTTGTATTTTTCTCTGGCATCGCTTGTTCTTTGTAAATGATAAGCTTAGGAGGAATGGAGCCTCACTTTGTGATGTCAAAGCACTCAAAGGCCTCTTGATATCAGATACATCCATCTGGCTTTAGTGTAAACATTTCACTAACCTGAGAAGGCAGGTGGGGCGGGTGCAGCTCCAAGCTGGATATCCACTACAAAAGAGGGAAGAATTGGAGATGACATACAATGAATCATATACCCTTACTGAGCTTTTCTAGTCTTTCATGCGCCAATGAAAATAATTTAATTCTACACATTTTATAAGGCAGGGATCTTGTTTGGCACACTAATATACTAATGAAACCCCAGTAAGTCAAGAGCCACTCACCGCCCATTCAGGAAATGTATCAGAGAAAGCAACACATTTTTCTAGTATTCTTTCTTTTCTTTTCCTTTCTTCCATTCTTTCTTTTTCTTCCTTTCTCCCCTTCCCCTTCCCCTCTTCCTTCCTTTCTTCCTTTCTCCCTCCTTCCCTCCCTCCCTCCCTCCCTTGCTTCCTTCTTCTCTTTCTCTCTCTCAGTCTCCGTTGCCCAGGCTCAATCTCGGCTCACCACAACCTCTGCCTCCCAGGTTCAAGCAATTCTCCTGCCTCAGCCCCCCGAGTAGCTGGGATTACAGGCATGTGCCACTATGCCCGGTTAATCTTGTATTTTTAGTAGAAACGGGGTTTCGCCATGTTGGCCAGGCTGGTCTCAAACTCCTGACCTCAGGTGATCCGCCCACCTCAGCCTCCCAAAGTGCTGGAATTACAGGCATGAGCCATTGTGCCTGGCCCATTTTTTCAATACTCTTTCTATGGGCAGGAGAATGTCATAGGAACTCTAAGGGTTACAATCCTGGGCGACACAGCAAGATTCTGGGGAGGAAAAAAACCCAAAAAACTCCTGTTCTTTTTTTTTTTTTTTCTGAGACGGGGTCTCGCTCTGTCACCCAGGCTGGAGTGCAGTGGCCGGATCTCAGCTCACTGCAAGCTCCACCTCCTGGGTTTTCGCCATTCTCCTGCCCCAGCCTCTGGAGTAGCTGGGACTACAGGCGCCCGCCACCTCGCCCGGCTAGTTTTTTTTGTATTTTTTTAGTAGAGACGGGGTTTCACCGTGTCAGCCAGGATGGTTTTGATCTCCTGACCTCGTGATCCTGTTATCTCGGCCTCCTAAAGTGCTGGGATTACGGGCTTGAGCCACCGCGCCCGGCCAAAAATCTCCTGTTCTTTACCGGCAGGTGGAAGGGGTTTCCATTCCCATGGCCATCCCCATTCTCTGGCCCCTTGAGCATTTCACTTTCTACGGACAAACCACCGCCATCACTTTCGTTTTCCTCACGTTGGTGATACACTGACAATCAATTTCTTATCTGGGCTGGAGACATAAACAGGCTCTCTTCTTTGACATCCAATGGTGGAGGTGCATTTGCCCCTCACCAAAAATGCCAGCCTCACCCACTCACCTACCTGGCTTCACCACAGTCTTCCAGACCAGAATCTCATGTCTTTTTTCAGTAATTTCAAGTTGAATGGGTTCCTTCATCTGCCCAGCATAGAATTTCGAGAAGGGCTGGATTTCTCCAGGGCTCCGGTAGGACAATTTCAACTCCTAGAGGAAACAGAGCAGTTGACTTGAAGCAGTGGAGGGTGGAAAGGCCCGGCTCCCTACAGTGAACTGGTCAATGGAACTTAACCCCTGTTTTCTGCACAATGTCATGGCTGGTTGAGGGGGAAACAGAGGGAGAGAGGTAAACATCCTGAACATCCTCTTCTTGTTTTTGTTTTGAGAGGGAGTGTTGCTCTGTTGCACAGGCTGGAGTGCAGTAGCGCAATCTCAGCTCACTGCAACCTCCAACTCCCAGGTTCGAGCAATTCTCCTGCCTCAGCCTCCCGAGTAGCTGAGATTACAAGTGCACACCACCACGCCCGGCTGATTTTTGTATTTTTAGTAGTGACGGGGTTTCACCATAGTGGCCAGGCTGGTCTCAAACTGAAGACCTCATGATTCGCCCCCCTCGGCCTCCCAAAGTGTTAGGATTATAGGCATGAGCCACCGCACCCAGCCAGTAAACATCCTTTTAAATTTACAATGTTAGGAAATAATTTTATTCTATGAAAGCAAGAGTAAACTAGCTCTCAACACCCCATGAGTCAGAGAAAAATGATCTGAACTGAATATAAAAATCTTAGGTGTTGGCCAGGCGCAGTGGCTCATGCCTGTGATTTCAGCACTTTGGGAGGCCACGGTGGGCGGATCACCTGAGGTCAGGAGTTTGAGACCAGCCTGGCCAACATGGTGAAACCCTGTCTCTATTAAAGATACAACAAATTAGCTGGGCATGGTGGTGGGTGCCTGTAATCCCAGCTTCTTGGGAGGCTGAGGCAGGAGAATCGCTTGAACTCGGGAGGTGGAGGTTGCAGTGAGCCAAGATCATGCCAATGCACACCAGCCTGGGCGACAAGAGCGATATTCCATCTCAGAAACAAACAAACAAACAAACAAAAAAGTCTTAGGTGCTGAGGCTCCTCATTAATATTGTTACTAACTCAGAATCTCAGACGATACAGAAACGTGAGAAAACTGGTAAAGGCAGCTCATCAGGTCTGTCCTGGCCTCACTGGGAAGCCAAGGGTCAGATGTGGCATTGTGCTTTCACGTCCTTCCTTCTCTTCGTTCTGCACCCGACTTCCCCAGGATTCCTAAGCAAAGCTGCCCTGGGGAATAGGGAGCTAACCTCATAGGCAGGACAGAATTAGGAAAAGCTTAGCTCATGCAAATTTCTAGTTTCTTTAGGAAACAAACCCTACAACTCTCGGAAAATAGTAACTAAATTTTTTTTTTTTAATTTTATTATACTTTATGTTCTAGGGTACATGTGCACAAGGTGCAGGTTTGTTACATATGTATACATGTGCCACGTTGGTGTGCTGCACCCATTAACTCGTCATTTACATTAGGTATATCTCCTAATGCTACCCTTCCCCCCTCCTCCCACCCGACAACAGGCCCTGGTGTGTGATGTTGTGTCTTCCCTTCCTGTGTCCAATGTTCTCA